GGATTGTTCAGATAGCTCGATCACCGCATTTCGCCTTCCTTCAAAAATCCTTTTAACTGGATCGAGAGTAACCAGAACAAATGGGACGACGACTTTGCCCTGATAACTTTGTAATGTCGTACTTGCCCCAATGTTCCAGAGAACAAAATGTCCATCGGGCTTCCTGTGCCCTTATGTTTGATTTTGAGTAACGCATAGCCTTGGAGACGTGAAAAAGCTACCGTCCTTCGTATATAGAAAGAGACGAATGGAGACCAGACTTTATAAATGACAAGAGACACACGTCTCAAAGATGTGGTTTAAATTTATAGGCTATTATAGAGAATGGATACACAAAACTGCCTTTCAAGCATAATACTGAGATCAAAGTGAAATTTTTTGAAATACATCATAAACTATGCATAATATTTTCGAACATGATCTGAGTTGATTGGATTTAAAAATTCAGTGCCATCCATGTTGGCCAGAACTAGTGCTCCTCCGGAGAAAGCCTTTTTCAGCACAAATGGTCCTTCATAATTCGGGGTCCATTTGCCTCGATGATCTTTCTGTAATGGGAGAATTCTTTTTAGAACTAAATCTCCCTCTCTAAACCTTCTTGAGTGCACCTTCTTGTCATAGGCTTTCATCATTCTTCTTTGATAAAGTTGTCCTCTGTATAATGCCGTCAACCTCTTTTCTTCTACAAAGTTTAGCTGCTCATAACGTCTTTGGACCCACTCAGCCTCTTGTAACTTAGCTTCCATGATAACTCTCAATGATGGAATTTCTACTTCAATAGGGAGAACAGCTTCCATACCATAAACTAAAGAAAATGGTGTTGCCCCAGTTGAAGTACGGACTGAGGTGCGGTAACCATGTAAGGCAAATGGAAGCATTTCATGCCAGTCTCTGTAAGTTACAGTCATCTTTTCAACTATTCTTTTTATGTTTTTGTTGGCGGCTTCTACTGCACCATTCATCTTAGGTCGATAAGGGGTTGAGTTGAGATGTTTGATCTTAAACTGCTCACAGAGCTCACTCATCAATTTGTTGTTCAAATTCCTTGCATTATCGGAAATTATGGTTTCAGGAAGACCATAACGACAAATAATTTCCTTCTTGATGAATTTGACTACAACTCCTTTTGTCACATCTCGGTAAGAAGCTGCTTCTACCCATTTAGTAAAATAATCTATGGCTACCAAAATGAATCGGTGCCCATTTGATGCTTTAGGTTCGATAGGTCCTATCACATCCATGCCCCACATAGAGAAAGGCCAAGGAGCTGTCAAAGTATGCAAATGAGAAGCAGGAGCATGAGTCTTGTCCGAGTAAATTTGACATTTGTGACATTTTCTTGCATATTTAATACAATCTGTCTCTATAGTCAGCCAGTAATAGCCAGCTCTTAAAATTTGTCTAGCGATCATGTGTCCATTTGCATGAGTGCCACACACTTCTTCATGAACTTCTTCCATAATCCTATTGGCATCTCTTCATTCGACGCACCTTAGGAGAACCATGTCATGGTTTCTCTTGTACAGTATCTCTCTGTTTAAGAAAAACTTCATTGCCAACTTGCGAAGGGTGCGCTTATCATTTTCTGAAGCATTTGGTGGATACTCTTTACTCTTTATATATTGCTTGATGTCATGAAACCAGGGGTTACCATCGGGTTCTTCCTCAATGCTCATACAAGAAGCTGAGACATCTCTCCTCCCAACTTTAATCGGACGGACATCCTCATTGAGTTCTAAATTGAACATCACCGCTAATGTTGCCAATGCATCTGCTACTTGATTATTTTCTCTTGGCAAATAATCAAATGAGATTTCATCAAATTCTTGTGACAATTCTGTTATGAGTTGTTTGTAAGGCAACAACTTAACGTCTCTTATTTCCCATTCTCCTCTTAGTTGATGAATTACTAGCATAGAATCCCCAAAAACTTTTTCTTAACCTTCATATCAACAGCAGCTTGGACGCCCATCGAGCATGCTTCATACTCGGCCATATTATGTGTGCAGTCAAAACATAATCTAGCGGTAAGAGGGTATAGTTCCCCTTTTGGTGATATCAAAATAGCCCCAATCCCATGACCTAACTCGTTAGAGGCACCATCAAACATCATGGTCCAAGTTTGCGGGTCTAAACTTTCCTCACTTGCAGTTATGGTGGAGATATACTCATCTGGAAAATCGAACTTTACCGGTATGTAGTCATTTATAGGTTGTTGAGCTAGGTAGTCGGCCAAAGCACTCCCCTTAATAGCCTTTTGAGTCACATAAACAATATCATATTCGGACAAGAGGACCTGCCACCTTGCAATTCGACCCGAGAGAGACGGCTTTTCAAAAATGTACCTTATGGGGTCCATCTTTGAAATGAGCCATGTGGTATAATACAACATGTATTGTCTTAGACGTCGAGCAACCCAAGCTAGAGCACAACAAGTTTTTTCTACTTGAGAGTATCTAGTCTCGCAATCGGTGAACTTCTTACTTAAATAATATATAGCCTGTTCTTTCCTGCCTGAATCATCATGCTGCCCTAGTACACATCCTATTGAGTTTTCAGTCACTGTGAGATACAAAATAAGGGGTCGTCCTGGAGTTGGTGGCACAAGAATTGGAGGGTCTTGCAAATACTGCTTAATCTTATCGAATGATGCTTGACAATCTTCACTCCATACCCCATCGTTGTTCTTGTGGAGCAATTTAAAGATGGGTTCGCAAGTTGCTGTTAAGTGAGATATGAACCTTGCGATGTAGTTGAGTCGTCCTAGAAATCCTCT